TGTTGTGGTTGCCCAGGCTGGAGTACAGTGGTACAATCTTGGGTCATTGCAACCTCTGTCTCCCGAGTTCAAATGATTCTCCTGCCTCAGCCTCCCAAGTAGCTGGGATTACAGGCGTGTGCCACCGTGCCTGGCTAATTTTGTATTTTGTACTTTTAGTAGAGATGAGGTCTCACCATGTTGGCCAGGCTGGTCTAGAACTCCTTACCTCAGGTGATCTACCCACCTCAACCTCCCAAAGTGCTGGGATTACAGGTATGAACCACCATGCCCAGCCCACTCTGGGTCATTTTAATCTTCTGCTTACTACCTTGTTCCTCCAAATGAATGGATTGCCGGAGATATTGAGTTATTTATGGAATATTATTTGAGTTATTTGCCATAGTTCAGTAAATCGGAATTCATTTGGTATTTTGGAAATTGTACACTGTTGTGTATACTTTTTAATTAGTTTTTATGTAATGTGTAGCACAAACAAAATTAAACCTTGTTATGTGTATACCAAATAATATTGTCATAATGAGGTAGACTCTAGTATTTTTTAGTGTTTTTAAATTAAAGCATTGTAAAAGTACATATAAGGAGAATAGGCCACATAGTACCTCTAAAATAGAACTGCCTTATGGGCAGTTACTTGGTTTTCTTAGTAATTGTGCCTTTAGCCCTTAGAATGGCGCCTGACACTTTATATGCATTCAGTATTTTTATTGAATGAATGATAAAACTGATTTGTAGCTTTGGCTAAATTTACTTTCTGAAATAAGATGTATGTATAATTTACTATACATATTTATATAGGTTGAGTATCCCCAATTTGGAAGTCTGAAATCTGAAAATGCTCCAAAATCCAAAATTTTTTGAGTGCCAATGTGATGCTCAAAGGAAATGCTCATTGAAGTGGGTTTTGGATTTTTGGATTAGGGTTGCTTAACTGGTAAGTATATAATGCAAATATTCCAAAATATGATAAAAATCCCAAAATTAAAACACTTCTAGTGTCAGGAATTTTGGATAAGGGATACTCAACCTGTATGCAACAAGCTATCCATGGATATACAGTAGACTCTTGAGTCAGTCAACAGGTTTTTTTTTCCTGAAAATTTATGATGATATGTAGCCAAAGGAATAGTTCTGGTCTGTGTCTTCTTCCAGAAGAATCTTCTAGAATCTAGGACTACTTTTGTATTTGTGTTTAATACTTCTCTAGTTTGTCCTAGAATGTTTGCTTTCTGCTTCAGGATTTCTATTTTAATTGAAGGTAGTCTATATCTTTGTATCTATACTTGCTTGTAAGTATGTTCTTTAGCCTTAACCACTATGCTGCACAATACTGCCTTCCTTTTTTTTTTTTTTTTACATTTATGGAAATGACAGTGTGATGTTGCACTTCTTTATCCTCCATCACAAGCCACTTTCTGATGTGAACACTGATCTCTGACAGTTGAGGTGATGGGAAAATGGTTTTAAACACCTTTTGTGGGAAGAGTCACTTCTGATTACACATTCTGCATCATATCATTAAACATCCCCTATGAAACATTAGCTCAGGGGCATTACTATTTAATCATTTCATGATCATCATTGTCTGAGATACAGTGTTGTTTTGGACTTGCACTGTAGTTTGCAGGTTGAATTGCTGTTGAATCTAATATATATAGCTCTTAAAATTCCAGTTTTGATAAAGTCCCATATCATCATATTTTAAGTCTAAACATCTTAAAAATCTATTTTAAATGAAACCTTTATATATTGCCTAAAACTTGATGGGTTTTGAACATGGTGTCTATGTTGATATCACTGATATCATTAGTATAATATTTATGTCAAACTAACAAATTTCCTTCTTTTCTTTCTATATCTTGCAGTAACTTGCCCATATTTAAGAGCTGCTGAATGCTCTTTGAACGTTTTGTTATATTAGCAGTATTTGCATTTACAACTTTGGCAGGACACTATCCAAATTTGGAGATAGGCTACACATGTTTCTTGCTCCTTTTATATA